GGCATCAATTAACGAATACATGTAGCATATCGTGTTCACATTCTAAATACAGTTACCCAGGGCTTTGCTGTTAAAATACATAATCTTTTTTTCTAATTTTAAAGTTACTCAAATTCTTCGAAGGCTGAATCAACAGTACCAGTCAGTCACAAGTCTTTTAAGAAATACATCTTCCCCAGTCCACTAATGTTGTTGCTTTCTACTTTGAAATTTGAAATTATTTTTCCGGACTCATTTACCAGTAGTTCTTTTGTTCTCACTAATAGAAAGTAGTATTCTCTGAATTTTTGGGGAGGAATCCCAATATATGTACTTAAAATGTACCTCCGTTTTAAAAAAAAAAAATTCATACACTTCATAAGCATACACCTCACTGACATGAAATATTTCTAAAAGCAGATAAATGACTGGTAGATAAAAGTTGAAGTCTGTGTGCATCTATTTTCCTTTCCAGTTGAAAATGATGTGAAAAAACAATCAGCTAGATTCATATAAAGTTCCAGAAAGTCAAATCATTATTGATCAACGTGTCTCAAGAGAACATGATGCTCTTTTTTATAACTCATCTGAAAAATATGTCTTAGTATATTTGGAATTCAGGTATTCTCCCCCACTCACAGAAAATAATAATCTCCTGCAAAAAAATGGTTGGAGTTATTCTTTTAAGGGACCCTAACATTAAATGAGTAGACAAAATAAAATAACATTTCAGATGGCCAGAGCTAGATGTAAATTTGAAAATGGCAAAGAAAATAAACTCACTGTCAGTCCATTTTATGTAGGTACATTTATCTTAATAGTATCCTGAATATCAAGGGAATATTTTCGCCCTTTATTTTCAAATAACCTTCAATCCCTCATGTCAATGAGAATTGAGTGTCTGGACCGGGGTTGTATATGGTACATTATTTTTGAATGGCACCCAGTGAATTTTAAAACTGCTGTAAGATTTCAATTTTCACTGAAGCATAAGCTTCTAGTGCACATTGAGCAAGAAGGTATTGAGATAATTCTAAAGTCTAATAGTTAGTGTTTAAAAAGGAAAAAAAGAAAAGGTAAGAAGGAGCTGTGGTATGTCTATTCAGAAACTGATGGAAACCTCTACTACAACAAAAACATATCCTTCTAGCATGGATGGCAGAAGTAGGTTGACACTAGGCCTGTGCAAACTGGCTAGTATTCTCTTCGGATTCAGCTGATTTGGGGGACAGTGATTCAATTCCGTGATTTGAATCACTGTCCTGAATCAATTTGGTCAAATCTGATTCAGAGATTCAGCTGCTGCCAAATCTACGAATCTCCGAATCATCCAGGCTGCCCCACTGACCCCAGCTCCCATCACTTTGAAAAATAAGCCCCAGCTCACCAGGTGCTGCCAGGCAGGGGGCAATCCCTGCTGCCCCCCACTGCCTCATGCTGCATGGGGGGCTCTGCATGAGCCACCTGACCCCCCGCCACTGTCCCAGCCCCCCACCATGCCTGCCCTGCCTGCCCCATCTCCAGCCCTTTAAGAAAAAAAAAAAAACAAGAAAAACCCCCACACTCACCCCTTCCTGCCAGGCGGGGGGGGGGCGATCCCCACTGTCTCCTGCTGCCCCGTGCCATGTGGGGGGCTCTTCCATGAGCCCCCTAAAGCCCCGAGGCTGCTGCAGGAGCAGAGAGTCCCAGGGTTTTTCTCAGGGATTTTTTTCTTAAAGGGCCAGAGCTGGGATGGATGAGGCAGCCATGGTGGGGCTGGGAAAGTGAGGGGGTGGGCATCGGGAGGCTCATGGCAGAGCCCCCCATCCAGTGGGAGGCAGTGAGGATTGCCCCCCCCACCTACCCACCCACCCAGCAGCACCCAGTGAGTGGAGCTTTTTTTTAAAGCACCAGAAGTTGGGGCAGATGGGGCAGCCATGGGGGGGAGGGGCTGGGGGCTGGCTGTAGTCCCCTCATGGTCCCCTTCCCCTGCCCCTACTTACCAGCTCCTAGTCCAGCTGCAGCTCCCTGCTGCAGTCACCAAGGACTGTCCGAATCATCAAAGCTCTCCAAATCTTTTCCAAAGATTCAGAGAGCTTCTAACTGATTTGGACCTTTTAATTTTTCCCCTGATTCAATTCAGATTCATTTGGCCACTGAATCAAGCCGAATCTCCTCTAAATCAAATCACCATCCAAAGCTTCACACAGCCCTAGTTGACATTACAAGGAAGCTACCAACCCTCTTAGGCTATTTGTCTTCCACCTAGATTCCAAAAGTACTGGTTCTACCAGGTATCCATCATGTAAATATCTCTTGAACAAACTTTCCATGTTTTACTTCCATTCAGGCAACTGGAGGATGACTATTTCATGAGCATTCAGAATTCTACTATAACCATTTAGATTTTCTAGGAACAGGATAACAACAAAAGGTTCAGATGCTCATTCTGATTCAACAATCCCTCTCAAATTTGAGTGCTTATCTCAAACTTCTCTCAACTATTCTGAAAAACATAGCCTAAAATTATGTATAAAAGCTCACAAAAAATAAGCTCTGTCAGGAGACTTCCAGTATTTCCTGTTTTAAGAGTCACAAACCAGACTTAGGGGGAAAAAATCAATCACATTGTTGCTCCACTCCAGCTATTTTCACCTAGCAGATGTGTCCCGAAGGAACTATAATCAATTATATCATTTAGAGCACAAACATGACTGCTCTAAATTATGCCAAGACTAGCAAAGAGCTTGACTGGAAGGTTGCAGCTACATGTTTTGCAGCTGCTCCTCTGCTGCTCCTAGCTAGGCCTATGGTATAAATAGATTACTGGTAGCTTTAGTGCACAAGTTACATAGTACTTTCCAAGGTAAGCATATCCTAAGTTTTGAGGTGCGTTTCTAAGGTTTGATTGCACTTAGAGTATAGATAGATGAAACAACTATGCTGCTTTAAAAGGCATGGAGGGGTTATCCCATTCAGTCTACACTATTCCACAGCCAGGGGAAGCTAAATTTAAATTTACCATTCAGTGGTAAATTATTGTGGTTTAGCTTCACATACTGAAACATAAGGGGAGAAAAGCGAAAGAGTTACAAGAGATCAATTGCATGCAAAATTCCCTCTAGCAGTATGTTTCATCTGTCCATACTATATTGAGATAGTTGGTGTTTTATTCTATGATGTGTGCTTGTGTTTTTCTTTTAAATCTTTAAACTAAACAGGTTTTATTAGATACAACAATCTGTTTGCTATGGAAGAACATAGTTGTAATACTCAAACTATGTAATAAACATAGTTTATGAGTATTACAGAACTCAAGGCATTGCTGAAAAAAAATAAAAACTAAAACACTTTCTCTCCATTCTTGTACTCTGTCCTGCCTGAAATCAGAATATAAATAAAGTACTGAAATACTGAGGGAAAGATCCTCCCCTCCCCACCATGTGAAGGGAGGACCTGTTCCTTTAGCTTACATTCTATTATATTTCTTTCAGCATTACTTGTTCAGTCTCCCAGCATGTAAATTACATCACTTCAGATTTAGAAGATGAAATTCATAACGGTGAAAACATGCAACATATGGTAGCTGACCTGACAAGCTGGGTAGCTAAGTCCAGGAAGAAACTTGTTTTTAGACCAGGGGTCAGTAATTGTTCGCTACTATAGTATCTGAGTTGCCTTCTACACTTTCCTATCATTCCTCTGGAAGTTAATCCTATCAATATTTTTAAATAACTAAATGGGGAAAATGGTTTCTGGATGTCAAAGTTTATTTTGTATTAACTAGATTGGCTTTTCCAGTACAGATAAAGGTTATACTGGCGCTGTAAATTCATAAGAGGTGCAACTGCCAAGCAGGTAAGATATATCACTATGACTTCTTCAGTTGTGTTTTTGAACCTCACTCTGACCATACCTGGTCATTCAGGCAGGGGAAGTCAAAGACAAACGGATGCAATGTTACCCACATAGGCTGCTTGTTCCTGAAACTGGCATTAAAACTGCTAAGCTGCTCAGCTCAGGCAGGCTTTTGACATTTTGGGCTAGGGTCAGACATTACACATAAACCAGTTTAAGAGATCAGAAACTGGTTTAAATCTGTAACACAACAGATGTTCAGTGCACATAAACCAGTTTGAGAAAACCCTGGTTGAATGTAGTATCACATTTGGCTCAAACCTGTTTATGCAATATCTGTCCTAGACTCCTTGCTGGTTTAAGATGAACCAGAAACCCCCAGCATCCTGGCATGCTCTCTGGGTGGGGCTCTCTGCTCCACAGCAGGGCTAGCCCCTCCCCTCTGCTCCCTGACTGCAGCTCCAGGGACTGGGAGCTGCTTCCCCCCACCCCTCACTACTCCCTGCTAAGCAGGAATTCCCCCCTCCCCTCTGCCTTGCTGAGGAGATGGCTGTGTATTAGCTAGCAGACCACATGCTGGCTACAGTCCCTGCTGAATCAACAGGTAGAATCAACAGGCAGAATCAACAAGTCCTTCTGTTGTTTTCTTAATTGGGTGATGAACACTGTTATCAATTCCCTGCTAGGCTAATCAGAGCTCCTGCTGGAGCATGGCCACACCCCTCATCAGTTCCATGCTGTGGAAGGAAAGGAAGCCTGCTCTAGTACCCCCCAGCTTCTAGCCTGAGCCACTGCAGGCATGTGCCTACATTTCTGGGATGTCTATCCAGTTACAAAACTGATTTAGCCTAGCCAGGTTAGACTAACCTGCAAAGATTGAATAAATCCAGGCTCAGGCTTTTTGAATATCTGTCCCTAGCCTTAGACTGTAAATTGAAAATAAGTGCCCAACAGTTAGAAATTTTGAACAAGACACATCCACATAATAAATATAGCAAGTCATCTAGTTCTAGATGGGAAGAGAGAGCAGCCATTAAATATTTCAGAATTCTAATGACTCCTCTAAGAACAGAGTACCTTCCCCAGTAGTGTACCCCACACTATCTGTGGAGTTCCTGGGCCATTGTAATGACAGTGTAAAAAGAAATTTAACTTTATGGGGAATTAATTTGTGGGCACTTTACCTTAGCTATGATGCGGCACAAATGAGCACCCTCCTGGGTAAGGCTGAATAAGCTGCGTGTAGCCGATTCTGTGATGTATATATTTTCTGATGAATCTATTTGTCTCACCAGGTTCTGTGTAGCATAATGAGATAAAAACACCAGTTATTTTCAATAAGAAAAGTCATGGTGAGATATCTAGTCAGTTTAACCAGTTCCAAATTTATAATTGACAAAGTGAAAGTGGAAGCGAGACATATTATTTGGGCCAAATTCTGCCTTCCATGAATCTGTGTTACTGCACTTATTTCATCTTTGCAGTGTTGCAACTGAGGACAGGATTTGCCCACATATCTACTTATATCTCTGTTAAGAAAATAATGCATAGGCAGCCAATGGATAATTTGAGAGCTACACGTTGCTCACAAAGTCATTTGAAGTGGTTCATTGGAATTCAGACTCATATCAATGATAAATGTGCATTGATCATAAAATGCACCTACCCAAATGTCAGTACAGTATTCAACTCTCTACTCTATCCATGGAACCTTTGGCTATCCTTTTCTTCAGAATAAGTGATGGAAACAGTGGCATTTGAAGGTGGCTCTTCTGAATACCAGATGCCCAAGGACTGGTAGATTATGGTAGTCCTGATGGCAGGGGCCATGCAGCTGTTGTGCAGCCTGTACCAGCAAGGGAAACTGTTGGTACAGAGCAGTTTAGCAGGTTCAGAATTTTCCTTTAAGAGTAATTCAATCAGTAATTTCCCACCACCTTCCAGTCTTGAAAGAACAGCAGGTCTTGGGATTTGGGGTTTTAAGTTTAAAAGGTTTTCTTTCTTTTCTTGTTTTATGTTATTCACCATTATCCCTTGACTGAAATTTTTGCCACACATATATGGTAGGATGTGTGATTTTGGGGACCAGGGATCAGATCCAATTTGCACCTAAATCATGATCCTGGGCTCCTTCTGCACCAGCAAGTTGAAAGTTGGGTGTCAACAAACAGTTGATTGTTGGCTGGCTCTGGGGACAGACTAGAGTAGAATCAAGCCCTGATCAGCTGCTGGATTGGGACCACACCAGGACTCAAACCAGGTTGATACAGTGCAAATCCTACTGAAGTTCAGCTGATCATTGACCAGCAGGTAACATGCCAGGACCAGCTGGAGAAACCTGGTGCAGTCCTCCCTGCCACATGTTCAATTTATGGTGCTATGGAAACCAACCACAAATGATTACATATATTTGTGTAATAATCTTGTGCTTATTTTCTGATTTATTATGCCATTAAGTACCTGAACATGTGGCACAGTTACACTTAAGACATAATTTAACTGGTTAATTGCTTCTCCGGTATGTCTGCCAGGGGCCTTAGAGACCTAGAAAGTCCTAATTTGAAGGCTGCAGCCTTACTGTATAGTTACAGTAAAAGGTTCATGGTGACATCTACTGTGCTTTGCTTCTTACTCCAAAATGTAACAGCTACTCAGGCCCAAGAAAAGATTGAACACTGCACTGATAAAGTTTTTAAATGATTAATAGTGAGAATTGTTATTATTTGGGAGAATAGTATTTGATTGATCATGGAATTACAATGTGATTTTCTAACAGTGATTAGTTTGCTTATCTTAAAAAAGTATATAATAAATGTCTGTTTCTCTCCTATTTTAATAGTATTTTCTACCACTAGACTACATGGTTCTATGATGGTATTACACTAAGACATATTCATTGCCTTCCATCTAGGTAGAATATCTCATTGGCCCATAAGCCTACGGACTTATGACAAGAGTACTGCATAAATTGCTAAAATGTGAAGTTGACAAAAGGCACTTTTTCCCCTTTTAGATATAAGTTACTCTAGTTTTGCAAGTGCACCACTGCATTTGTGCAGGTTAATGCAGTTCTTAGAAAAGCAAAAATTGCAGGATGTAAATTTAATGTTACTTGCTCCACAAGTTTATATAATCTTCTCAAAAGAGACAATTCATGGCAGTTTTTGTTGAGGAAAAGAAACCAGGGACCTATTCATGCATGGAACAGCACTGGCACTGCACTGTTGGCACTGGTGTTGTGGCCAGCAGCCAGCTGCAGTGGCAGCTAGTGTTGTGCCTTCTTACCTCCCGCACACAAAAGGCAACAATCAGGCCTACAGCTTCTGTCACCCCCTGTGAACACTAGGTCAGAAGAAATAAAACACATTCTTTCAAGTTCTGTAAGGGACTTTCTTCAAGAAGGATAAGAAAATAGCATTCATGTATAGATGACCCCATACTTCCAAGTGACTAGGAATATAAACACACAACACATTTCCATGTATAATAGGGTTCAGAGGAATTATTTTAAAAATAAAGTAAATCCTACTGCTCTTAAAGAAAAATGGATATTCTGACTAAAATCTAGAATGTTTTATTCACCAATGCCAACAGTCTAGTATAGCCACTTGTCAATATACATATATGGCATATATTTAAATGTTTGATAACTATAACATTTTATAGGAAGTTTAGTCTGTGTTGTTGGTCTGGGGGAGGTAAAATCATTCACTATCCTAAGGAGAGGATTTTACAAGATGACTGGAGTAGGTCCAAAGTTCTCATTATTAGGACATTATGCAAAAGTAAGCATCTTTCAACTGAAGAGAGGCCAAATAGTGGAGCTGATGAGCACAGGCACACAGCTAAGCACATGACTGCTTTGCTGGAGGATACTGAAATCAGGTCAATGAACATGAAAAGTAAAAGAGGTCAATATTCTGGAAAAGCCAGAGCCACGCATTGGGATGGAAGAAACTGCGATTAACAAAGGGCCCATTTGAAGACTTGAGTAGGAAGCTTCCAGGGCTGATGAGTTTCTTTCTCCCAGTTAGGAAAGCTGCATCTGTTTTTCAAGATGCTTGAAGCACTACGCCCAGGTTTGTTGCAGTCTGGCCTGTAAATCTCTTACTTCCATCATTCAGCAGCTTTCACTCAATACCCCATTTTCTTTTTCTTAAAGAAATGTTAAGGGCATAGCTTGCATTCAGCATTTACTAACCCGTGTTTCATGTGCTAAGATCAGTTCTATCAACTGGCCAAAATAATGAGCAACTGTACTTAGTGTTTCATTAATACAAGGTTTCATGGACTTTAATATCTGTTCGTCCTCAGTTTGTATGCACCTGGAAAGAAACAGAAAGAAAACGGGTGAAAAAAGAAAGCACTAGAAGAATTATACACCAACTTCTTATAAACTGAAACAGTTGAGCACTTTATTTTGCAGAAATGTGTTAGCAATGGCAATTCAAATATTCAAGCCAGAATGCATTATAAATTAATCACAACTCACCAGTTCATGATTTACTTCATACACTATAAGCCAAATTAACTTCAAGTACACTTCTATCAATTCAGAGTAACTCAACCACTGTTGATTAAAGTGTACTGTTGTAATCCACTCTTAAATGGCTACATTTCAATTGAAGATTGTTATATCCCTCTTTCAGGTCATACTTAAAGGGCCAAATGAATATGCCCAGGTGTCAAATGTCATTGAAATCATTCTGGATTTAAATTGTGTACCAGCGTGTAGATCTGGCCATCTACACAAGGACTACATGGAATAACTTCACGAGTGGAATTATGTAGCAGCCATTCTGCATCTAAATCACATTAGGCCAAAATTTTGAGAAGAGATGAAGAGTAACTTTTGCATTACAAGCTAAAGGGTGCATTTAGATAGCCAATAATACACCAATAATGTTTTCTATGCAAATGATAAGAATGGTAGCACAGCAACCTGATCTAGGTACCAAGATTGATATCTGTACTCTTTCCTAACAGGTCATGGGATATCTTAAATGACCGAAATAGTTAGGATCTGTTTTATTCCTACTCTGAAGTATGTCTCCATCACTCATACGGTGGCCCCAAGTATATTGTGGGGACTTCATTTAAGTGCAGATAAAAAGAAAAGTGTAATCTAGTGAAGTTACTTTGTATGGCAGTTTAGTACTACCCATTTATCCAAGTATTACCGAGCAGGGCCAGTTCATCTTTTCTTTTTTGTGAAATCTGAGGAGATTGCAGGCTAGGTTGGCATTAATGAAGCTAAAATGTATTTGCTTAACTGTGTTGTAGGCCATATTTGGAGTTTATAAAATAATCCCATCCAAAACTAAATTAATAAATAAATCAATTCATTTGAATGAAGGTTTTTTAAAAAAATATATAGCCATTATAAACAAGGAAATAATTTAGCTATTCACTATCCCCATCTTGCTTAATGATTTCCCCTTTCGGCCTTAATCTGTGTTCCATCTACCACTCATATCCCAAAGAAGTCAAATAAGCGAAAGAAGTGATCTAATTTGGAGAGGTGCTAGCATCCACAGTACCCACTGAAGTCAATAAGGCCTGTAGGAGCATGCATGAAGAATATTTCTAAGCAGAACAAATTTGGGGAAAAAAATAAGCAGTGATCAAGAAACATTCTGTTATCATCTTCTGGTAATTAGATGTTATCCCTGAAGATTCCCTGAGCTGAATGACTGGCCCAGTATTTAAAGTAAATCAAGAGAGACTATTGATTGGGTCATGGCTTTGAAAACAAGGAAACTTCTGTTAAACTTTTAGACAGCAGCTTGAGAAACATTAAGAGAAGAATGGTTCTTTCCCAGCTCTTACTCTGACAGAGCTGTACAGTGCTTATATCAGTGCTTTGAATTTATCTAATCAAGAGAACTTATATCACTGTTTGCAAAATGGTCAGGAAAGCTTGCATCAAAACTTGCCACATTCATGTATTTAATATGTGAACCATAACTGCTACTTTCAAACATAGGGTGAAATCCTGGCCCCATTAAAGCCAACAGAAGTTTTGTCACTGATTTGACCCCAGGGTCTAAACTTTGTATTGAGATTCACTAATACAGGCCCTTATGTCTCTGTCAGTTTATCTATGCAAAAACTGATCCCTATGAAAGACCAGGATCTAATAAGGACAAAGTACTGGCACAAGTTTAGGCATTGATGACCTAACACTAAGGAGGTCTTTTCAACGAGAGTTGTAGATGTTCAGTTAAAACTTTCAAAAGTGGATCGTACTCCATCACGGTGACTACACATCTGGTAACATAATTAAGAAGCAAAACTGATCATTCAAGTCAGGAAATGTAATTTACCTTTCTGTGAGTGCTGTAAATTCTGAACATTTTTCTATTAAAAGTTTTTCAAACTGCAAATAGAAAAAACAGAAACCGTGTTTAAGATAGTGTGTGATTTATAAAGATTTCCTCTTCATAATAAAGAACACTCAGTTACAGTCATTAAAAAGTAGTCAAGAAAGATCCCTTCTACAAGGGCAGGTAACGGCATCATTGGATCTGCTGCAATGCATGATCCACACAATTGTGCCTCCTGTCATATGACAACTGATTGACAGAAGGTGTGATTTTGGGATCACACATTAGATCCAATTGCACCTTATTGCTGATGTAAGGGGAGCCTGATCCTGGGCTTCCCCAGCATTGACAAAAAGCAGGCTCCCATGTCTGGGAGTCCCCTTTGCTGATAGGCTCCTATCCATGAAGGCCACATGCAGCTGAGACCAAGAGTCCCACACCTGACAGGACACCCCCCACCAGGTGCAGGACACTTGGTCCCAGCTATGTTTGGCACAGCTGGGACCCAGATCCCTATCAGGCACAAGGACCCTGAGCTCTGCTCTGTGCATGGGCCCAGGGGTTTCACCCATCTCTGAGCCTTGGGGCTTATGGCTGCTGCAGTCCCCCAGGCTTGGGGGTTTCATGCTGTGCATGGTGTACCCCTGCATTTGGGAGCCCTGTCAAACGACAGGGGAGACCCTGCTACACATGCAAATTAAACCTCAATAGCAACCAGCTATAAATGTACACATCTTCAAAGTCTAATTTGTTAGCACTTTCCATCATCTGATAAATAATTGGCATGTGTAGCTGGTCTTAAAAAGTAACTGCACCATTAAGGAGTAAATTGAATAATACCTGTAACGTGTAGAAGGGGACAGAGTAACATGCTTCACGTGGACACCAATTTCTTCATTTTTATTTTAGCTGGCTTCTCTCGATAGGTATAGGACCAATAAGAAAACTGAACCTAAGCTAATGTCAATACCATAAAGCAACATTTCCTTGCAGATACTGATTCTGACATTCCAGTAGTCTTATATGGAATAAACTGTGCATTAGTAAACCATAAAAGCTGCAAAATCAGGCCCATAACAATGCTAGGACCCAAACATAAGAAACACATGTCTTCACAGGCAAAGGAGGACTGGAAAGTTCTAATTTAGAAGATTGGCAATGGGTCTTTTTCTGACTTACTGAGAATGAGTAACATTTATTATAACTGGAAAAAAACAAGCAAAAATACCTAGGCTTGTTCCCAAAAGACAGAATTCCCACATTCTAAACACAGTTGATAAAAACAAAGCTGACAAACAAAGATATATTGAAGAAAAAATATCCTACCTTGTGCATTTCTTCTGAAGAATGTCTGGTAAATGTGTTGTATTCATTTATCATTGACCGTACATGACAATTGACTCTTACTGTCATGCTGTGGACTCTCTGCCATCTGCTCTTCTCTAGTTTTTGAGCAATCCTGGTCAACTCTGTGCTTATGATCCAAGCTCTTTTTAATAATAACTGCAAGTTATCCCACACACTATATTGCGATGAAAGAATAAGTTCATTCTGTGCATCATCCTCTATGCTGATTGGCTTCGACTGAAGAATACACATACATTCACAATCCGTCATCAACTTCAAGTCCTCCATCCAGCGCTGGACAGAATCCACTTGAATATAGTGCATTCTAAAGTGAAAGTAGTAAAAAAGAAAAAAAATAATCACATGAAAAAGACTGGAAACAATTTAGATAGCACCTTCATTATCACAATATTACGGCTACGTTCTCCCATTGGGTGGATTTCAAAAAGTAACCCAATGAAGTTGCAACCTGGCTACAATATGGATATGACATGCTTCACATTCCATATAGGTATTTCTCTCACCTATTCGCTACTCTCACATTAAGAGTGTATACATCTCCTAAGGGAACCGTGATCTGGACACACTGTCATAATTACCAGTCCATTCTGTATATTTTCTTGATACTAGCTGGTGCTGTAGCACCCCCACTGAGAATCACTGGTCTACATACTGCTGGACCCATCCCTCACCTGCTTAACTATCTGCTACAGTGGCTCTTATTATTTATAGGGAGCACTCAAAAAATAAAGTTTTTTTCTCTCCCTCCTGTTTTTTTTCCCCCCTTGCCTTCTGAAGGCTCCTGCACTGCAATCTGGGTCAACTCCGTAAGGCTCAGGCAAGCTCTTACCCTACAGCCCTTGTTAAGTGCACTGACCCAGTTACCACTAAACAAGGTCAGCTGATCCCCGTGCCCCTTGGTTCTGCATTTAAGGAACTACTCCAGGACTCGAGCCTTCCTGTTCAACAGACTGGTCCTCAGTAACTCCTTCCAGCAAAATCTCTGACTTCCCTGGTTTCTGACCTTGTCCTTGGCTTATTCCTGGATTTCAGCCTCCAGATTCTTCCAACACATCTGCTTCATGATTCCTGATATCTGTTTGGCTTACTTTTAGACTTTACCACATCCAAAGAAAAATCCACAGGTTAACTAAGTCTCTGATTCCCACCTCCTGACCCTGGCTTGGCATTTTGACTTCTGACCTGTGGTTCCTGGCCCCTACCCCTGCAGCCCCCCAGCTCCATGCCTGGCTTTACCCACTAGGCAAGCTGGCCTGGGGGACTGACAGCAGCTAGGAAAAGAGAAAACTAGATGTTTACATTAGACTCAAAGATATAATACCTCTCTTCTCGACTCCCATTACTTTTATAAGTAGTATCATCTGCATAGAAATACTGAGCTCTTGGTGGTGGTATTAAATCCATGCTATCCCGAAACGATCTGGGCTACACATTGGTTGTTATCTGAACCTTTCCCAGAAAGAATGCTCAAAGTAACAGGCCATTTTAAAATAGGTATACATGACTGCTTTAGAAAGAGGGTCTAAAGATTAAAGCAGTATACCAGTAACATTTGCTGTTGTATACAAGAGAATCTATAAAGGTTCACATACTAACATATAGATGTTCTCTGGAAAAAAAGGTGCTTTTATAGTGGAATTTATGGTCTCCATCTAGATCTATGGTTTCCTACGCAATATGTTCAAGAACTTGAGGCTGAGCATGCTACAGTTTGCACTGTCATGGAAACCTCTCTTTAACTAATTGAACAAAATCTAAGGGGAGCTCAGGAGCTCAATAGAAGCTGTTAACCCTCTTATAGGTCTTTACATTGTGTTCAGTTATCAATAAGAGCAGGCTGGACTTTCAACTAGCTGACTGAATAAATTAAATAGCATGAGACACACAAAGGGAAGATGGCAGGAAACCCCTTTCCATTGTTCAACAAAGTAAGAAAAAGCTTCTACCTTTAAGAAAAAGCCTGGAGAATTCCTCCTTGTTCCCTGGGTGATCAACAACTTTAGTTTGAAATAGGAAATGGTCTACAGTCTTCATGCCACAGACGTTAAATTGATGGAAGGAACAAGGGAGGCCAGAAGCCTTTACCTGGAGCTAAATTTAATTCCAAAATGCAAGCTAGGATGACTCACTCTTCTTAAGATTCATATATCTGGTGATTTATTAATCCTAAATATGAAACTTTGCTCCTTAACCAAATTGTTGTCTTCATTCCTTCAAGGATGGAATGGGTTTTCCTGCCATCTTCCCTTTGTCTCATGCTACAGCAAAAGCTGTGTTATCCGGCACCCATGGGGGATGCTGGATAACCAATTATGCCGGTTTCCCGAGAGGCCCGAACAGGAGTCTTTGCCTGTTCAGGCCGCCGTCCCTCCCATTGTGTCAGTGTACCCGGGGACAGGGAATGGGGCCCCAGGAACACTGGGGACAGGCTGCTGTGCCCCGGGCCATGGGGGCTCGGCAAAACCGGAAGTGCCGTGATGGCACTTATGGCACTTAGGGCACTTCTGGTTTCATTTTGCCATATCAACTGGCATGCCAGTTAATAGAACATGCTGGTTTGTAAGGTGCTGGATAACATGCCATATTTAATATATTCAGTCAATCAGCTGAAAGTTCATTCTCCTCTTATCACGACAGAAAACAACGTCAAGATCTACAGGAGGGTTAACAGCTCTTTTGAGCATCTGAGCTCCCCTTCAATTCTGTTCAATTGATTAGTCTAGTTTAAAAGGGGTTTCCATGAGAGTGCAATCTATAGAATCATTATACATCCTGCCCCCTGGGATAGGAAGTAGTAGTGGTAGTAAACAGCACCTGCTTTGCTTAAGGACTGGTTTTCTATGGCTTTCCACAAGACTGTTATCAGAAGGGTGAGGGGTACATGCATGCATGCCTGTGTGTAACTTCTTGTTCTTCCTGTAAATCTTAGGCTGTTCAGAAGGTGAGAGAAAATGGCATTACCCATAAAACACTAGTAAATCATTTTTTCTAAAACAAATAGGCTCCCAATTCAAGTGCTCTCAGGGGTGCACGTGCACCGCTGTGTACCCCTTACACCTCGCCACTGCAAATGTTAATCAGTTTATTGCTACTTGGCTTAGTGGAGTAGCTGCAGGTTAAAGCAAAAACCCTGCTCTGATTGCCCCTTACTTGCACAGCTGTGACTTGCCACCAGAGGCTTGGTGAGCAGAGGCAGGACAAGAAGCTATGGGAAGGACAGGCTCCCTGCAACCTCAGGGTAGAGCAAGTGTTACAGTCCTCACTCCTGGAAGCCATGGTGCCTTCCACCACCACTCTGACTGGCTCTGCTCAGGCTGGGAGCTGAGTCCCAATGGAGGAGGAACCACACGGCTCAGACTCGGTTCTGCTCGCCACTGAAAGCAAAGCCTGCTGGGTCTGAGCTGAGGGGAGGGAAACCGTGTCACTCTGACCTGGCTGGCTGAGTGGAACTGGGTCCTAGCAGCAGCAGTGATGCTATTCCCTCCCCCACTTGGATCCACAGCTGGGTCTGCTCCTGCTCAGACTGAAGCTGTAAGGTATAGCAGGCCCACTGCCTCCTGGGATGCTGGAGGACTTCAACTTGAGCAGAAAAGCTGCAGAGATTGGCTACAATTTAATAAAATGGGAACAAAATTAGATAGGTTAGAGACAATCCTGCCCTGGAGTGTGGTAACATTAAACCGAATCAAGAGTGCTTTAAGCCACTTAAAAGGTGTTAAGATGCAGCCAGTACAAGGGTTAAGAGTAATGCTGTGTGAAACAGTACCATTTCATTTCAATTTCCGTTTCACCATTTAGAAAGGGACAGTGTTTCATTTCAATATTTCGTTTCGTTCCAAAGCACCGTTCTGTTTCGTTTCATTGTTTCAACTTTTTGCCCATAGGCTATAATGGGGAAATCACAAAAATGCCTATAATGTTGTCATTTGTTGTCTGATTTGAATGAAACCAGCAGGGATGATAGCCCCTGCTGAGGCCACAAAGCCTGCCAAGTTTCAAGGAGATAGGTGCAGAGGTTTCTGGGAAACTGCACCTCAAGCTGCTGACAAACAAAACCCATGTCACGTGTGTATTAAGGCACAGTGGGGTGAAAACAGGAGGCATGGCATCCCCTGCTGAGGCCATGAAGCCTGCCAGCTTTCAAGGAGGTAGGTGCAGGGGTTTCTGGGAAACTGCACCTCAGGATGCGGACAAGCAAAACCTGTGACATTGTGCGAGTTAAGGTGTGCCCTCACTGGCACTGGGGCACTACATGACATGGTAGTGTGTCCCAATGAGGCCGCCTCCTCCCCTACAGCCTCCTCTGATCCACCACTTTAAATAACAACAGGTAAGCACTGCAGTGCACTGCAGTACAGTAGCACCAGCATCATCTCAGACAGCCAAACTGTCACAGAGCCTTTCTTCCCTTTCCTGCAGGAGCTTCTTCTCCAGCAGCTGCCAGAGAACTCTCCCTGCCAGCCCCACCCGTGGGGTTTAGATGTGCCCAGGGCCCTGCCTCCTTCCAGTCAGCTGACTGGGGACAGGTGCTAGGAGTGTAGGTTGGAGCCATGTTGGTCGAAGGACATGGCACTGGCAGACAAGGTTCTGTGGGTCAATCTGATCTTTTAATAGAGCAACTGAATAGTTGGAGGAATACATCTTAGCAAGCTTTTGGGTTGAAAAACCCTTCATCAGGCTGAAGAAGCACCTGTAGATAGTGTGATAAGCCTACCCCCCTGACGGTGGGGTCTGCTGCTTCTGAACCCCACCATGGAAGCCATGCCCTTGGCCCACATTAGCAGCACCTGTGGTGGAGGAGGAAACTGGCTGGTGGATGGTGTGCTTCCATGGGACAGTGGATCCCCCTCTTCCGCATCCCCTCGCCTCCGCCCTTGTGCCTCCCTGACTCTCTTCACCAGCACCTCCATCCACTGATCCATGGTTTTGCTGCCGCATACGCTTACACACCCCTTCACCCTCTGGTCACACATAGCGGCCAGCACATGGACCATACTGGACCACAAGGGATCAAGCAGTTTCCTGATCTCCTCCTTCAGACACCTCACCAGTGCCTGCGTGTCTGGTGACAGCAGCTTGTCCCAGCCAGGAACATCGATCCCCTGGAACTTCTCCATTTGGTTCTGAAGTTCCCTCACTACAGAGATCACCTGGCTAAGGAGGGCATCACCAGTGCTGAGGATCTCGGTGGCCTCAAGGAAGGGCTTGAAGACCACCAAGATCTGGGAGATGGTATCCCACTCAGCTCTGTTAAAGGGGCCACTGATCCCAATCTCCCCGAGCAAGGTCATCTCATGGATGGCC